CAAAGGCATCACTCACTTTTTTACCTTGTTTTCTTTTTTTTTTTATGACTGTTAATTTGAAAGACCAGTTTCAAGATTGTATTAGTCAGGGTTATCTAGAGGGATAGAACTAATAGAATATATATATATATATGTATAAAATATGATATACATAGATTTTATATATATAATTACATATTTAGATTATATATATCCTATATATCATATTATATATAATCTATATATAGAGAACTAATAGAATATATATATATATATGTATAAAATATGATATACATAGATTTTATATATATAATTACATATTTAGATTATATATATCCTATATATCATATTATATATAATCTATATATAGAGAACTAATAGAATATATATAATATGATTTTATATATATAATGGCATATTAAGGAGTGTTAACTCACACAATCATATATATATATCTCATATATATCATATATATATATATTACATGAAAGTGTATTAAGGAGTATTAACCCACAAGATCACAAGGTTTTCCAATAGGCCATCTGCAAGCTGAGGAGCAAGGAAGCCAATTCAAGTCCCAAAGCTGAAAAACTTGGAGTTTGATGTTTGAGGGCAGGAAGCACTCAGCATGGGAGAAAGACGTAGGCTGGGAGGCTAAGCCAGTCTAGTCTTTTCATGTTTTTCTGCCTGCTTTATATTCTGGCCATGCTGGCAGCTAATTAGATGGTGCCCACTCACATTAATGGTAGTTCTGCCTTTCCCAGCCCACTGACTCAATTGTTAATCTCCTTTGACAACACCCTCGCAGACACATCCAGGATCAATACTTTGTATCCTTCAATACAATCAAGTTGACACTCATTATTAACTATCACAAATATCTTTAATTATTTTTTATGTTTAGTCTAATTTATTGTCAAAGTTTCTGATTGTATTTTGGAATTCTTTTGGTAGCTTTTTTAATTCCAGAAGTTCTATTGGTTTTTTTTTTCTAAATATGTCCATCTCACCTTTCATATCCTAAATTGTTTTTCTGGTTTCATTTATTGGTTTTCAACTCTCTCTTGGACCTTATTAAGTTTTCTTGCAATTTATATTTTGAATGCTTTATCTGTCATTTCAAACTTTTCAATATGATTAATGTCCATTGCTAGAGAGCTAGTGTGACCCTCTGGAGTTGTCAAGATATTCTGGCTATTTGTTCTGCCAGAGTTCTTGTGCTGATTTCTTCTCATTTGAGAAAGCTGACACTTGTTATTTTGAATTTTCTGTTGTTCGAATAGGACATTTTAAATTTTTTGTTATTTCTTCCCTTGAGGATATGACTGTGGTGTATGCTGTGCATGATGGTTTGGCCTCATTTCCGGGTTTCATAAGGCCGAGGCTTAGTAGGGTTCCCTTGGTTGTGGATAGATTCTGTGCAGTGGTTTTCTTAGATGTTACTTGTTGTTGTGATGTATTGGATGTATGATCTGACACACTATCTCTTATGGGGCTGAGGGTATGGAGGTCTCAGGAATTTTATCTAAGTTCTTCTGGTGGCACGTTTTTAATTTGGTGGAGAGTTCAGGCTGCAATCCAGTAGATGGTACTTAAGAGTGAGAGCCAATTTGTCCTCAGTTAGACTGAAATTGAGTTGAAGCACTTTCCCTGGCCCTGATGGGATGTGGTATAAAGAAATCATGTATGGGTATGTAAAATTTGGTGGAAATGGGCCGGGGAGGTTCACCAGTTTCTCATTCTCAGCTGGCAGAAACATAATCTGCCTCACTCTCATGCCCCTGTTACAGGGCTCGTGACCTTCAGTCCACAAAGTCCTTGTCCTCTGTTTCCTGGCCACAGTGCAGCTGCAGGCTTCAGGCATGCCCCTCTAGTGACTATCATAGAAATGGATTCAGGGTGGAGCCTCTTTCCCAAGTCCAGAGCAGGCATCTCCATGACCGGTTTGTCCTCCACTGCCAGGATACTACTGTTATGTGTAGGGAGGGGTAGCTGGACCCCGCCCTTCATGTAAGCCCAAGCAGTGCAGGCTCACTTTTATCTGGGCTGCAACTCCTGCAAAAAACATAAAAGATGCTTTATCTGAGTGCACACATGCCAGTCCTCAGCAGGAAGAACCACTGCTGTATCCACAACAGTGTACGGTGGAGAGGGTGGGAAATTACCGTCTATCCAGATTCATTCCTGAGTGTTGGTACTGCCTCCTTTAGTAATTGTTGCTGTACCCATGTTGTCTTTGTCCCAAGGAAAGCTATAGTGGGCTACAGTCCCCACTCTCTTAGGGGAAGAACGCATTGAGAGTTAGATCTCCAGAGGTCCTGCTGTTTCCCCAAAGTCCACTGACCCCTGTACCTGCCAAAGTCAGAGAAGTTGGTTGGATATGTCTGCCAGAAATTTGGTGGTGTGGTGGCTCAAAGATGGAGAATCCTCAGGCAGGGCAGTGGCATACCACAGATGCACAAACAGTGTGGCACCTCCTTCCTTCAGATGGGAAGGTGGTGCAGCCGTACCTGTGCAGGCTGGCCACCCACTTGTCTATCCCTGGGGAGTTCCCAAATTGCTACCAATAGCATTACCCTGGGTCAAGAGGGCAGAGGAAATTCCCAACAATTTGGTGGTCAGCAGATTATCAGACATGTGAGGGGAGCAGAGAAGCACTTTTAGCTGTGTTTTCACAGGGTTCTCTGGGGTTGATTATTGCCAGACTTTTACTGCTTTTCTTTACTGCACCACAGCTTCTTCTTTATGGGCACTTTAACAGTTCCTGGCTCTCTTTCCTCAGTTTTTCATTTGGAACTTCCTTATTCACCAGTAACCTTGATCTTCTTTCTGAGGAGAACTGTAATTTGATGTCCCTGGTCAGCCATCTTGAAAAGAACTTGACTATTTTTATTTTTATCAGTGGTAGCATGATATATCTTCCTGCACCTAATTACTTTTAATCTATACATCTTTAAAGTAGATTTCTCAGAGGCTACATATAGTTTGTTTCTTCTTTTTAATCCTTTAACAAATTCAGTCTTTTAATTGGTGGATTTAGATCACTGACATTAAAAGTGACTACTGATGTTGTTAGACTAATGTTGATCATAATTTTACTATTTTCTATTAGTTATACTTGTTCTTTGACCTATTTTTGTCTTCTATTCTTTTTTCTTCTGTTGTGGTCAGCTGAATAGTCTCTATGACTCTGATTTTATATGACTATATAATTACGAATTTTTATTTTACCTTTCTTTGTGTATGTCAAGTTTCCAACCTATATGAGTCTCTCTAAAAAGCTTCTCTTAACATTTCTTACAAAGAAGATGTACTGGAAAAACATTTCTTCAATTGTTGTTTGTCTGAGAATGTCTTTATTTCTACTTTACTTTTAAAAGAATTTCACAGAGTACAGAATTTTAAGTTGGTGATTTTTTCTCTTAGGACTTTAAATATTTCACTCCACTCTCTTCTTGCTTGCATGGTTTCTGAAGAGAAGCCTGACATATTTTCTCCCCTATAGATAAAATTTGTTTTTTTTTCTGGGTAGTTTCAGGATAAAGTTTTCTTTATCTCTGACTTTCTGTAATTTGAAAATAACACACCTACAGGTAGTTTTTCTGATCAGTAATAACTTATTTGTATATTTTAAAATAACTTAGGAAGTGTAGTTGAATTGTTTGTAACTCAAAGGATAAATTCTTAGCATTTTCTAAGGTTCCCGAATCTGTGATTAGTGTCTGACATTAATTTAAGAGAAATTCTTAGTAATATATTTTTTTTTTTTGAGATGGAGTCTCACTCTGATGCCCAGGCTGAAGTGCAGTGGCGTGATCTTGGCTCACTGCAACCCCTGCCTCCTGAGTTCAAGTGATTCTCCTGCCTCAGCCTCCCGTGTAGCTGGGATAACAGGCACCCACCTCCACGCCTGGCTAGTTCTTGTATTTTTAGTATAGATGGGGTTTCACCATGTTGGTCACGCTGGTCTCTAACTCCTGACCTAGTGATCCGCCCACCTCAGCCTCCCAAAGTGCAGGGATTACAGGTGTGAGCCACTGCACCTGGCCAGTAATTATTTTTTTTTAATATTTATTTTGCTCCTTTTCTCTTTGTTTTCCTTCTAACTTTTCCATACACACACTTATATAATTGTCTCAAAATGTTTATATAATATCAATTGGCTTGCTTTTTAGTCTTGTTCCTCTTTGCTTTTCAGTTTTGGAAAGCAAATGAAAATATGGATATATCCTCAAATTAGAGAGTCTTCGTCAGCTGTGTTCTACCTACTAATAAACCCATCAAAGGCATTCTTTATTTCTGCTACAAAATTTTTTATTTTTAGCGTTTTTCTTGGAGTCTTAAAATTTTTATTTTTATACTTACGCTGCCCATCTGTTCTTGAATGCCCACTACTTTATCAATTAGAACCCTTAACATGTTAATCATAGTTGTTTTCAATTCCATTTTGAAAATTTCCACATCCCTGACATATCTAGATCTGGTTTTAAGCTTACTTATTCTTTTCAATCTAAGTTTTTTTCACTTTTGGTATGACTGGCAATTTTTTTCATTACAGTTAAGCATAATGCATTGGGTAAAAGGAACTGCTTTGATAAGTTTATTAATATGGTGTGAGGTGCTGGAGAAGGGGTAGCATTCCACAGGCCTATATTTAGGTTTAATTATTTTAGTTATAATCCAGTAACCTCTGGATTATAAGTTTCAAGCATACTTCTCAGTTTCTCCTCCCAGCTGTAGGTGGGGCGGGATAGCTTAAGAGGGCTTGGGTTGTATATTTTTCTCCTGCTATGAAGAAGGTCAGAGGCAACTGGAGCATAGTTTCTATGGCTTCATAACCCTATTATAATAATAAAATATCTATCATTATGCCCCAATACAAATAATTATTAGAATTATTGTCTTAATATTTTATCTCTAATTTTATTTTTTTCTTTAGGATCCGGATACTGGAGAAAATGTTGTAAGTTATTATAGACAATTTAAAATGATTTATTGTTTTATTTTGTCTATTTCCACAGAAAGGTCTACTTGGGCTTGTCTTCAGTGTTAAGAGTCTCAGCACTTGTTTTATATATTATATTAATTTATGCCATGAAGAAAAAATTTCAAGAGAAAGATACCAATGCATCAGAAAATGGAAGTGTCATGGATGAAGCAAACTTAGAATCCTTAAATAACAATAAACATTTTGTCCCTTCTGCTGGGGCAGATAGTGAAACACATTATTAAGGGGAGAAAAAAAGCCACTTCTGCTTCTGTGTTTCCAAACAGCATTGCATTGATTCAGTGAGATGTTATTTTTGAGGAGTTCTTGGTCCTTTCACTGAAAATTTCCACATCTTTTATGGTGAAAGTATTAATAAGCCGATGAATTTATAATAAAACAAACTATATGTAGCAAAAATGAGAGTATTCATTGTTATGTTATAGCTATGTATTTGTGGTTAAGGCTAGACTATAAGAGCCATACAAATTTAAAGTAAGAGGCATGGTTATTGTGTAATAAAAGAAAAAATACTTGTTCAAGTAATTGTAATTCTTAATAAAATAAATGAGTAGAATACAGGTAGAAGTTAAAAAGAAGGAGCTAGATTAGTATCCTAAGTAAAGAGAAATGCCTAATGTCTATTTTGTGTTAAACAAACAAACATGCAGTTTGAACTGTAATACTGAGGCCTGAAGTCTAGCCTGGATGAATGCTACAATAATATCTGTTACTCACATAAAATTATATATTTCACAGACTTTCTTAATGTATAATTAATTATTTTGGTCAAGTAAATTTAGAATACATTTAAATATTAATGAAGAAATAAAGACATTTGAATATTTGCAAGCTGTGATTGTTAAACAACATATTACATTACGTGTTAAGTTTCTGTTGGATTTAATGGATTAAGAAAAATTGACTTTGACTAATGTAGCCACTCTTATACTTATCTTAGCTAGATTTCCTGGATCATTTGCTGCGCCTTCTACATCAGCACTTTCTTCTTCACTTTGCACTTAGGTAATGAAACCAGCTTCTTTTTTTAAACCCCATGAACTAAATTCTACAGCATTTTTTCTTTTGCAGCTTTCCCACCTCTCTTAGTTATCATAGAATGACAGAGAGGTAGGGCCTTACTCTAGATTAGATTTGGCCTAAGGGAACATTATGGCTGCTTTGATCTTCTAACCAGGCTACTGAAGTTTTCTCTATATTAGCAATAAGTCTGTTTCACTTTGTTATTATTTGTGTGTTCACTGAAGTAGGATTCTTAATTATCTTCAAGTACTTTCTTTTTGCATTCACAACTTGGTTAACTATTGAATGCAAGATGCTTAGTTTTGACTTACCTTGGCTCTTGATATGCCTTCCTCACTAAACTTAATCATTTCTAAAATTTGATTTAAAATGAGAGATGTGTGACTCCTTCTTTCACTCAAACACCTAGAGGTCATTGTAAGGTTATTAATTGTCTTAATTTCTATGTTGTTCTGTCTCAGGACATAGGAAGGCCCAAGGAGGGAGGTGTAGCAATAGCTGGTTGGCAGAGCATTCAGAACACACACAGTTTTATTGATTAAGTTTCACATATTATATAGGCATGGATAGTGGCAAGTCGAATTAATTACAATAGTAACATCAAAGATCACTAACCACAGGTCACTATCACAGATACAATAACAATGAATAAGTCTGAAATATTGTGAGAATTAGCAAAATGTGACACAGAGACATAAAGTGAGCACATATTTTTGAAAAACTGATGTCAATAGACTTGTTTGATGCAGGATTGCCACAAACTTTCAATTTGGAAAAAAAAAAAAAAAACAAAACAAAATATGGGAAGTGCAATAAAGTGAAGTTGAATAAAAGGAAGTATTTCAGGAATAAAAACTAGCAGGATCACAGCATCAATATCTACTTAAAAGTATTAGAAATATGGAGGTAAATAGAAGAAATAGCTAAAAAGAGTTGTAAGTGCTTGCCTCCAGAAAGCAGTAATAACAAGCAGAGAAAAACTCATTTTCAATATGAGATTTTTGATGTAATCTTATTTTTACAACTTTGTGCATAAATTGCTTTGGTAAAAATTAAAAATCAATCATCAGACTGGTATGTCTCTTATTAATCAACAATAAACAATAATATTGATACCCAGGTAATACACTGAGAGCTTTGGGTGAGTCTCCAAGTCTCGCTGGTTTCAGATACCAGAGAGATCACAGGGGTTAACACACTAAGCAGACTCTTGAGGTCCTTGGTTCCAGGACTTGACTCTTGGATAGCATTCCTGAACCTGCCCTTGGCCAGAGAGGAGCCCACTGTCCTGCAGGTTGAATCCCAGGTCAGGCAGAATTCAATAGAAGCTGATTAAAGTGCCCTTGGGCCTTAAGGAAACATTGGCAGTAGTCTGGCAGTACTCCCTGTGGGCCTGAAGTGGTTGTGGCTATGGGTTGAGGCTCCCCTGTATTTGGAAATGTGAGGAAAGAGTGGGAAAGACTGTCTTGTGGTTTGAGTGACACCTCAGCCACTATATGATAGAACACCAAGTAGCCTTTACGAGTTTTGGCTCTAGTCTCTGACTCCTGGATGGCACCTCTGGGACCTGGGGGACCTCACCACACTGAAAGGAAGGACACAGGCCTTGCTGGCTTTGCTGCCTGCTGATTGTAGAGCCCCATGGGCAAACATGGGCAGTAGTCAGGGAGTAATTATAGCAGACCTTGGGCAAGACTCAGAAATGTGCTGGCTTCAGGTGTAACCCAAAGTAGTCATAGTTCTGGAGGCCACAGAGCTGCTCATGCCACTCCAAACCTAGATTTAGTTGTTTCAGAACAGAGAAGGAGACTGTATGTTTGGGAGAAAATAACCAATAGAACAAGAATCTCTACCTGGAAATCCAGACAATTCTTCTGGATGTTGTTCAAGACCATTAAGGCGGTACCTCTACGAGTCTGCAAAAACCTCAGCATTACTGGGCTTGGGGTCCTCCCTAAAGCAGACACAGCTTATCTCACAATAATCAAGTTCTTTTAAATGGCTGGAACCCCTTCCCAAGAAGGATAGCTGCAAATAACCCCAAACAGCCAAGACTACAATAAATACTTTGCTCTTCAATGCCCAGACCGACAAATATCTACTAGTATCAACACCATCCAGGAAAACATGACCTCACCAAGTGAACTAAATAAGGCACAGGAACCATTCCTGGAGAGAGATGTGTGAGCTTTCAGACAGAGAATTCAAAATAGCTGTTTTGAGGAAACTCATAGAAATTCAAGATAATACAAAGAAGGCATTCATAATTTTATCAGATAAATTTAACAAGGACATTGAAATAATTGAAAATAATGAAGTAGAAATTCTGTAGCTGAGAAATACAATTGGTATACTGAAGAATGAATAAGAATCCTTTAATAGCAGAATTTATCAAGCAAAACAAAGAATTAGTGAACTTGAAGACAGGTTATTTAAAAATACACAGTCAGAGGAGATGAAAAAAAAAAAGAACATAAAACAATAAAACAAGCCTACAGAACATGGAAAATAGACCCAAAAAAAGCATATCTGTTATGGGCCCTAAAGAGGAGGTAGAGAAAGAGATGGGGTAAAAAGTGTATTCAAAGGAATAATACCAGATAACTTATCAAACTTAGAGAAAGATATATCCAAGTTCAAGAAGGTTGTAGAACACCAAGCAGATTTAATCCAAAGAAGACTACCTCAAAGCATTTAATAATCAAACTCTCAAAGGTCAAAGATAAAAAAATGATCCTAAAAGCAGCAAGATAATTAAGATAGAGTGGCACTCCGAAATTCTGGCAGGGAAGTTTTTACTGGAAACCTTACAGGCACGCATGGCATAACATATTTAAAGTGCTGAAGGAAAAAAAAAAAAATTTTACCCTAGAATAGTATATGCAGGAAAAACACCTTTCAAACATGAAGAAGAAATGGAGACTTAGCGAGACAAACAAAAGCTAAGGAATGTCATCAATACCAAACCCATCCTATAAGACATGCTAAAGGAAGTGCTTCAAATGGAAAGAAAAGAACATTATTGAACAATAAATTATCACCTAAAGGTACAAAACTCACTGCTAATAGTAAGTATGCAGCATAACATAATGTCATAACACCATAACTGTGGTATGTGATCTATTATTCTAAGTAGAAACACTAAATGATGAACCAATCAAAAATATAACTTCAACAACTTTTCAAGACCTGGTACAGTAAGCTATAAATAGAAACAAGAAAAAGTAAAAAAGCATGGAGATAAAGTTAAGGCGTAGAGTTTTTATTACTTTGATTTTTGCTTGTTTGTTCATGTAAGTAGTGTTAAATCGTTATTAGGTTAAAAATAATGAGTTATAAGATAATATGTGCAAGCCTCATGGTAACCTCAAACCAACAAAACATACAATAGATGCACAAAAAATAAAAGGCAAAAAATAAATTATATCACCAGAGAAAATCACCTTCACTTGAGGAAGATAGGAAGAAAGAAAGAAGGACGAAAAGAACAACAACCAGAAAACACCTGTGGTGTAGGCACTTATAGCTATAAACTTCCCTGTTAGTACTGCTTTTCCTGTATCCCATAGATTACCATTTGTTTAAGAATTTTTTCAAGATTATTTTAATAATCTTCCATGATGTGCTTATTTTACATTGCATGCCTGTATCAAAATATTTCATATACCCCATTAATATACATATCTACTATGTAACCACAAATAAAATAATTAAAAACAACACAATCTCTTTGTGATTAGAAGTGTCTAAATAATCCTAAGAAGGAACTAATCTCAAATTTTGCCTGGTCCTGAGAATATTTACACCAGACTCAACTCCTTGAAAAGAATGTCCAAAATTCCTATTGAAAAAATTGACAAAAATGACTCTGTGAGTGGAAGTGAGAGAGCCACAAGCACAAAACAGGCTGATGGATTAGAGCGTGCATCTTCCCATTCCCATTACAGTTGAAATTATTCATTGAAGTAACATACTTCAAGTATTAGTGTAATTGCTTTTCTATGAATAAATATCTGACACTAAGTATTATGAAGAAAAGAGGTTTAATCAGGTCATGGTTCTGCAGACTTTACAGAAAGCATGATAGTGGCATCTGCTTCTAGTGAGGCCTCAGGAAGCTTACAATCATGGTGGAAGGTGATAGAAGAAGCCTGCATGTCACATGGTGACAACAGGTGCAAACGGGAGAGAAGAGGGGAAATCCCAGACTTTTAAGCAACCAGATCTGATGTAAATTAACTGTGTGAGAATTGACTGATTACTAAGTGATGGTGCTGGTCTATTTATAAGGGATCAAATTCCATGATCTATTCATCTCCAACCAATCCCCACCTGCAACACTGAAAATCACACTGATGCAGTCGCCGATGCACCACAATGTAGCAGTCTCTTGTTGCCTAAGCTAGTACCAGGAGTTCTTTGTCTCTGCACCAGCAAAGTTAAGGAGTTCAGACACCAAGGGTGATGTTGGAGTGGAAGCTTAATAAGCTAAAGTAGAAAGCTCTCTGCTGTGAAGAGGGGGCCTGGAAGAGTGTTGCCGTTTCTACAGTTGAATGCAAAAGCTTTTATAAAAAAATAAGGGGTGGACATCTTATTTGCAAAGGGACAACTTTCCGGTGGCTCCACCCCATCCTCTTAGTGTGCATGTGGGCCCTTAGCTTGAGTTGCTCCATATTCCTTTGTTCCCCTT